TTTAGATGACGGTAAAAAGACCTCTCATTGTTGCTATGAAGCCTGATGCTGCAGCTACTGTAAAAAAGGGATTCATGCTTTTGATTTCAGGGCTGTGTATCAGGATGCAGACATCTATATTCTGGATGACCCACTCAGTGCTGTGGATGCAGAGGTGGGGCGGCACCTCTTTGAACAGTGAGTGACTCAGTTAAAATCATTTCAGCATTTATGACTCAATCAGTCTGCAAAGAATGTGTGGTTGTTTTTGATGCACACATTTAGAATAATGTGCAAAAGTCTTGCACAAGACTGGACAAGACTTGATATTTAGCTTCCATGGAGCCAGACTAAAGAGTAGTTCTGCAGGCTTTCTGGACGTTTTCTAAGTTTTCTTTGTGTTCTTTTGTGTCTACACATGATTATTTAGCAAAGAACAAAAAACTTCAGGCAACCCTTGCTTTAAGAAGTGGCTTTGAATGGCTATATTGTTTAATCAAAATTCTGCAAAACAGGTTTCTGTCCTTGCTATTCATCCTTCTTCTGTTAGCAGTCACATCACAGGTCAGGGGTGGGGTTAAGCCCCTTACTGGAAGAATACATCAAAGCTGGAAATCGTTCAGTGTCACCTCCCAGCAGGAGAAAGTTTCTATTGTTGTGCATGATGTAACACATGCACTTGTGTTTTTGGCTTTTGGCATACGTTTTAACCTGAGCGATGGATGTTTAGCAGTGCACCATTGTTTAATGTTGTTTTTATAGCTTTGGCACTGGACACAGTGCTTTGAAACAAAAATACATCAGAAGTGAAAACTGACAAAAGCTTTGCATGTGTTGGGCTAAGCCAGGAAGGGGTGCGGACTACCAGTGTCAGGCAGACAATTGAACTTGACCCCAAACTTCCTGTTACACTTTTGGTCTTAGATAACATACAAACTTTTTAACTGTACTAAAGAAGAAGAAAATCCTTTGACAGTGTTTGACGTTTTTATGTGAAACTGAAACAAACTGGAATGAGAGAAAATGTTTTTCTTGTATCAGATGCATCTGTGGCTTGCTGAAGAACAAGCTTCGTATCCTGGTCACCCATCAGCTTCAGTACCTGAAGGCAGCTGACCAGATTGTTGTCCTGAAAGAGGTTAGTGCAGATGAAATCATCCCTGTGTACCAAACTTGTATCTGAGCACTGTGTTTACCTTCAGCTATTACATTTCAGCGCAAAAGACATGCTGTGGAAGAGAG